TTTCAAAAGAACATAAAAATAAAAAAATAAAAAAAAAAACAAATCTCTAACTCTCATCTTAAATCATCAATTACCATGATAAATTTAAAGCAAAAAAACAAATAATTGTTTTATACAATATTTTTTGGAGTAACATCACAACATTAAAAAACTCTTGTGCAGCTACAAAATCTCTCAACTCAATTTAAACATACGAATTTATTGATTAGTGCCTCCAAACTTGCAAGCATCGAGACTCAAAATGTTTAATCAAAATGGCTTTAGATTTTGGGGGATAAAAACTCTTTGCCATCATATGCACTATAAATCATAATATTGTGCTATGCCTCTGTCATCATATGCACTATAAATCATAATATTGTGCTATGCGTTATCAAGAACAGTATGTCCCATTATGCATGGGAGACTATTGCCTAAAAGTACTCGATGAAATAGTTAAGGGATCAAAAACGTATTGTTCCTACAGTTATGATGATTAAACATAGCAATCCTTCTTTTTTTATCAATATAACTACAAATTAAAATGGCTTAATTTGAAATATTAAAATCATGATCGGCAATCTAACATTTCTCAATTTCAAGAATATTATAAATTATTTTCAAAACATAAATGTTGATACATCCCATGTTTATTAGAAATTTTATGAAAATTATTTCATGAAAAAGACAAATATCATCATGAATATCGATCTTAAAATGGCTATACATATGATCACCATGTTCGTCCCCACCTAGAAGCTCTGGATTATGATTACACACCAAATCATAAACCATTTTCAGATCTGTACGCACAAAAGAGCTTAACTAAGGAGATATGGCTAGCTTGTAATTTCGTACTACAGAAGACAACTGTATATTTCAGCTTGCTCTTTTAGTAATGTTTTGTCCCTTCATAAAATTAACCATTCGAACCTAATATCATATCTAATTTTGATTTCGGTTCAAGGTTAATTATCAGGCATAAGCCAGTTTTTTTTTTTATTTACATCGTGGAAGAAAATCAACACAAATCAGGTCGTGCATAACATGTGAAGAGTGAATGGCGGGCACTCAACTGATCAGATATGCTAAAGAACTGTAAGATATAAATATTTCGCGAGGAATTAACCGTTCAAAATATATACTAAAAGGAACTTCCTCTTGCCATTAGTTTCTGGTTCATCTCCACATTGATCTTTCTGAAGGGCTGAGGCTTACTTTATCAGTGAGAAGTGGGACTCGAGCTGGAGCAACGGAAGCGGGAAGGCAAGTTAGCAGTGATACTTCTCTAGGCGATCTGTGTTCCTATTTAAGAAGATAAGGAAAAATAATTACAAATAAGAATATGCAGTGTTAATTACGTGTAAGCTGAAATAGTCGAGTTGATAGCTATAAAACTGTAAACACATGATGATTGCTAATTAGAAAAAATTATTAGAAATTTAATATATCCAGTGGAAGTATATAATTTGGGAAAACATATTTATTAATGTTCTATAATTTCTAATTGTATCCATCAAGCGATGTGTAAGTAGGCATTACATTACTATCATTGAATAAGACCATCTAATCTCTTCCGA